AATGACGGTTCGGACAGTATGCTGGAGGAGATGATGAAATAAGTTATAATCTCAATCTAGTTGAAAAAGAATGGGTGTGTTCATGGTACATACAAGAATCATATGCATATATAGCATAGTCGTCTGATCTACCGTACTACCCTCTCGAGTAGCTACTATGTCCCAGACTCCGAGACACTGTATGCTCTAATTATAGAGCAATGTTAGAGTTACTCCATTTGTACATCAAACAAAAAAAATAAATTCACACATACACTCCATATTTGTACATGTTTGCGTCCATATTTGTACATGTTTGCGTGTGTACCCTTTATATTTGGAATACAAATGAAGTGCCTCATTTCAGTGTACCCTTATCGTATTTATATTCTAAAGGGCGCTCTCCATAAGGGCAAAAACCACCCCTATAAATTGTTCTCCTCTTCTTCTTTCTTCCTTTTTTTTTCTTCCACTGGATCTGATCTGTGTGCTTTTTTTCACCCATGTGTTTGATCTTTACATCACATGGCCTCTCTCATCCCAAACCATATATATGCACTTTTTCTCCATCTCCGCCATTTATTCCCACTCTTCTTTTTCTTTTCTTTTTTCCTTTCCTTTTAAATTTTCCTCCATACATGCATATATATATATATATATATATATATATATATATATATATATATACATATCATCTTTTACTTTCCCCACTTCCATTTTACCGTTTCTACAAGCAAACTAACTATTACTCATTCTTCTCTTTTTATCTTTTTTGATATTGCAACTGCATGTAATACTTTGTACAAGTGTTAGTTTCATCTGCAGCAGCATCTTTTTTATTTCTTTTTTTATTGTCTATCTAATTTAACTCTTTTTATGCATATCAAACATGTTTACATTTCTAAATTGGAAATACAAATTCAAAACCATTTGACTTATTTTACACAGAAGGGGTAAAAAAACATGTATTGTTGCTTGTGCAAAGAAAAAAAATTCAATGGGAGTCGGTTTTAACTCACCTCGTCTCGGTTCTCAAGGTATTCGTCTAGACGTTCATTTTTAGGGGTTCGTTTGTCTTTAGCTCAGTTGTTCGCATAGAATGTACATACCCAGCGATCTGTGACCCATTTAACCCAATTGTTCATCTGGAAATCCATACCCGGCGACCTGGGATCCTTTAGGTATTGCGTTCAAATATTCGTTTTACGAGAATGAGAATCTATTTACAAATGGTCAATCGGTTAAAGTCGAAATGATCCGGTTGTCCACTTGAGATGAACAGTTTTCGATTACTTTACATTGAAAATTCAAGAGTAAAAAATAATCGATATATGACCTCTTGAATTGAACTAAGTAATCTATTACATTTAATCTTTTCATGTAGTTAAGCTCAAATGATTTATGACCCAATTTAGTCATTACTACCTCATTCCTTAATGATGATAATAGAATATTATGAATGGGCCGAGAGAAAAAACAAAACCTGAAATTCGTTCATAGACGAGAACCGTCGGAAGCCCTTTTTGAAGCCCGTTAAGAACAAGCCCACGTTATTGGACTTTAATGTAAGAGTGTGAACAAAACCAAAAGGAAGATGACAACGAATTAATATGGGTCAACGCAATCCAATTGGATCCTCAACCTGATATCAATAAAGGTTTAAAAACAAAAAAGTATGTGAAATGCCGGGTTAACAAATACAATCGTCACAAACTTTATAAATTTTCTATTTGTAAACTTAAATAAAAATAAATTGTCTAAAATAATTTTAAAATGATAATTTAAATTATAAATCAGTCCGGTTCTAGTGACACCGGAAAACGGTGCCACTCCGGTGTCACTAGGTTTTTGGGGCACCTCCGGTGCTCCGTTCGTAAAATTGACGGTTCCTACACCCCCCATCCTACCCCCACCCCTGCACCCCCACCCCAACTCCTCCGTAAGCCCCCCACAAAATGTGTGGCTATTATGCAATGCATAATAGCATTGCATAATAGCCACACATTTTGTGGGGGACTTACGGCGGGGTTGGGGTGTGGGGAGGGTGGGGGGTTTAGGGGATGGGTTAGGAGGTAGGAACCGTCAATTTTATGAACGGAGCACCGGAGGTGCCCAAAAAACCCAGTGGCACCGCTAGTGGCACCGTTTTCCAGTATCACTAGAATCCCACCAATTATAAATAGTAAATTTGTGAAGTATATGACTATCCTGTTTGTAAACTTAGCATTACTCAAAAAATATAATAATTCCAAGTCTCCAATATTCAGAATATAATGGCTATATTATTTGCATTTTTAAGTTTTATATCACACATAGTGCTTATTGCTTCGTTGGAGCGTTTTTTGCCACGTGGATACCATGTTAACAAGTTGTTTTGAACCAAAAAATATACCGAGTATATAGGCCGTGTTTGGAAAACAGCATTTGAGATAGCTTTTGGCATCTTTGACTGACTTTGGCTTTTTTGACCAAGCGAACCGCCAAAACCATTGTTTGGCTAATGGCTTTTTCACTTGGCATTTTGATCCGAAAAGCCAAAATCTGAAATGCCAAGATGAGTAGCATTTGGACATGGCAGTTAGGAAAAATACTTTTTTTAAAATCATTTTTGTTGAAAGATATTTTATAATATATGTAAAAAATAAAAATAAAAGTTAAAAAAATTAAATACGAAAAAATAAAATGAAATTAAAAAAAATTATATTTATAATTCATTAAAAAATTTATATTTATAATTTATTATGAATTAAATGAAATTAAAATTTAATATTCCATATAGTAAAGATTTAATTTTTATGTAAAAAAATGAAAAATAAATATCNTGGACATGGCAGTTAGGAAAAATACTTTTTTTAAAATCATTTTTGTTGAAAGATATTTTATAATATATGTAAAAAATAAAAATAAAAGTTAAAAAAATTAAATACGAAAAAATAAAATGAAATTAAAAAAAATTATATTTATAATTCATTAAAAAATTTATATTTATAATTTATTATGAATTAAATGAAATTAAAATTTAATATTCCATATAGTAAAGATTTAATTTTTATGTAAAAAAATGAAAAATAAATATCATGTCTACACACACACACATACAGACACACACACACACATATATATATATAAATTTTTATTTAATTTTTTTAATTTAAAAAAATATATTTATGATATGATATTTAAAAAAATTGTAAAATAAAATATACCATAAATGGAGGGATGTCCTTTTATGTAATTTTATTTACAAACAGCTAACTATAAACAGCTAAAGTTGCCAAACACTTAAAATTTAGTTGCTAACAGAAGCAGCCGGTCAAAACAGCTAACTCAATCAGTCATTCAAATCAGCTAACATAAACAGCCAACAGCCAACAGCCAACTGCTAGGATCCAAACAAGGCCATAGTGTGCTAATGGATTATTATTATTATCGGTCAAGTTCAGTGACACCGGAAAACGGTGCCACTGGATTTTTGGGGCACTTCCGGTACTTCGTTCATAAAATTGATGGTACTAGCCTCCCCTAACCTACCCCCTAAACCCCCCACCCTACCCCCACCCCTGCACCCCCACCCCTACCCCGCCGTAACCCCCCCACAAAATGTACATTTTGTGGGAGGTTACGGCGGGGTTGGGGTGGGGGTGCAGGGGTGGGGGTAGGGTGGGGGGTTTAGGGGGTGGGTTAGGGGGAGTAGGAACCGTCAATTTTACGAACGGAACACCGGAGGTACCCCAAAAACCCAGTGGCACTGCTAGTGGCACCGTTTTCCGGTGTTACTAGAACCGGGCAGTATTATTATTATTATTATTGTGTTTTCTTAGAGAATAGATCGAGTGATTTTAGGGGTAGTGAATTTTTTTTATTTATTTAAGGAGCCTTATGAACTCGTGGTTGGAACTGCGCCAGTTAAGGTTTTAAAAATTGTAATGCCCATAGTATTGGTGTCTTCTGGCGTGAATGGGTAAGTGACGCCCTGTTACGCATGATCTAGTGTCTAAAATTAAAATTTCAAATAAGATATTCATAAAAAGAAGACTTTACTAAAGTTAAATAATTAAAATAGAAGTGTCACGTTATCATAATTCTTATATAACTAGTAATACAATTTTTTTGTATACCTAAATAGAAATAAACGTTGAGAATGGTACAAACATAATGAGCTCCAACACTTGCCTTCACCGTCAAACTTTGGTGTTAATGTATATCATTTACACAATTTTTCACCTATCATCAATCTTGAAAAAACGCTTTTAGACTATAACTCGTATGTACCTACTTTGAAATCATATTTAAATAATTTTCCTATCAAATTATATCAGAAATAATTTTAAAAAGATTAAATTCCCAAAATGGTCTTTTGTAATAAAGTGTTTTCCTAATTCAGTCCTCAATAAATTTTAATTACTTACATGGTCCTCTATAATTGAGATTTATTCCCAAGATGGTATTTCGTAAATAATGTTATTCAAATGATCATTAATTGAGTGATATTTTGGTATTTTGATCATTCAAATTTAAAGTATATTTTCGAAACAATTATTTCTGTACAACTAAATGTAAAATTGAAAAAATACATTGACTATAAATAATTCATGATATATTTAAAATTTATAAAAAATCTTTTAAATTTCAAATTAAATACACATATTTAATTAGAAAAAATCATTTTGGGAAAACACTTCATTTTAAATAATCATTTTAAGAATTAATTCTAAATTTAGCGGATAAAAAAATTTCAAAATACTCTCAATTAATTTTCATTTGAGTAACATTATTTACAAAAGATCATCTTGGGAATAAATTTCAATTATAGATGACCACGCAGGTACTTAAAATTTATTGAAGACCGATTTGAAAAAACAACTTATTATAAAGGACTATTTTGAAAATTTACTCTTTTAAATACTTCGTATCACTATAATCAAATCAAATCTTAATAAAACTAAATTTGTTTTTCAGATGGAAAAACAAGCTCATACTCCTGTTGCAAAGGATATCTATGTTCTGGCAAAATTTACATACCCATTGAGCTAAATATATTTTTTGTACCAACAAAACATTCTAAAAAAACATTTAATCCACGGAGAAGTTCATAAGACTATATTCTCAAAACATTGGGCGATTTTCCAGAGCCATCCAATGCGATCTCAAACAAATCTCCGTCCGATCCCAGATCGTCGTCGTCAACTCCTCGTTTTATGCTTCTACTCTTTGCGCCTTCGCCGATCATCAGCCACTCTGAATCGATTCTCCCCATGGAGAAAAGCTCTCTGCTGTCTTCTCCGCATCCCAAGCCCGGAGAAGAAGAAGGGCACTGCTCTGTCATGGTGAAACACGGGTTCGGAGTCCGGCGAAGGTTCGCCGGGGCGTATTTGAAATGGGTTTGGCCCAGGTTCACTGACACTGTGATGTCGGCCTCATCTGCGGCGGCGGATATGGTGGGGTGGAGCGGGCTCCCGAATTCCTCCGACTCGCAGTGGATTTCGTACAGTAGATTTGAGTCCACTGTGAAGAACACTTTGTTTTGGGCGGTGTTGTGTCCAATCCCTATCACCTTTCCTGCTCTTCCCCATCTTCTTGAATCACATTCCCCCACTAGTCTTGTCCCTGCACTACCCTTCATAATTCAGAAATGTTCCACACAAAAAAAAATTATTGGTTTAACTTATGGCATAATTGTTTAGATAAGAAAATAATGATAATGTGATGGTGACAATGTAACATTCTGATCCAAGTGTGGAGACGTAGTGGAAGTGTGGGAGTAGTGTGCTAGTGGATCACCGATCAGCGGGGTTCAACGCTAGCGATCGGCGGCCCCGGATGACAGATGACAACGCGTTGGTGGCTCTATGGCGGGATTCCGCCGATAACAAATGACATTGTGACAATGTCAGATAGTAGTGTGACTTGTTACATTAGAGTTTTACATTAAATGAGAATGATAATGTCTTTTTTAGAAAAATAAGACTTATAATTTCAATTCTTTTTATGTTCGTGTCTAAAAATGATGTTGTAAAAGTTACATTTTTTTCATAACTATTTAATATTGTGAAATATTACATAATTCATTCAAAGATAAGGACTCCTATATTCCTTTTTATATGGTTCACATCATCTCATTTTTCTCTCCATATAAATCACAATTATACATTTCATTTTATTTAAAAGGTGCAAAGTTAAACAATGATCAAAAGTATGAAGGGAGTAACTATGGATTACTTTTTGTCAAAAGAAGTCAAGTGAAGTCTATATTCACATTTCAATATTAGTTGAGATTTTTTCAGTGCAGGGGTTGACTTTGACCATCAAGCACTTTTTCAAACTAGGAGATTTTAGCAATTGAAGCATACCAGCAAGAAAAACAGAGGCATTAGAATTGAATCCAACAGAGCCAGGATATGTCCCCGGAATCTTCGCCGGAGGATCGCCGGCTCCGGTTAGCCCGACGCATAACCCGACAAAATCGGTCCTCTCCGTTAGAATTCCATTTCCTTCGTCTTCATCATTCAGATTTTCAATGCCATTGTTATCAGTAGCAGCATTTTTTTTTCTCTTGAATAAGCTTTATTTTCTCCCCTTCTGATTCTTTTCTCCTCCCAATTGGTTCTTGATCCATGAAGGACAAGATTGTAATTTCAAAATAGGCCTCTTCTGGGAAAGCCGAATTCCCCAATGCTGGGCCAGGCAAGGGCAGTATGGTCTTCACAATTGTTAAAGAACCACCCCTTTGACTGTTTTTTATTTTCCTCGAGGTCCCTGAATTTTTTCGAAATTGGATTTTCTGCACGCCGTCTTGAGTGGCCTCCCGAGTTATATCCACCTCCATTCGACTCACCTGATCGCCGCCGTGAATTTTCTGACGGCGCCTGAACAGAGACATACATCGCCGGACGCTCGTCGGCGATGAAGAGCAGGCGACGAATCCGAACCCCGACCACCCATTTTCGACGGCTTCGGTTACGAGGGATGGGTGGTCAGCCCATCGGAAGATTGGATTTTCCGGCGGCCCACGCAGGGAAACGAAGTAGTTTGTCTTCTTGTCGCCGTTTTTATCCAGACGATGAAGGGTGACGCGATGATGACGCAGATCCTTTTGCTGGATAAGACGATCGCTGCTTTTATGACAGCGGCGGCATGAACTTAGGAAGATTATGATGATCAGAAGAGAAAGCAAAACTCCGCCGGAAACCGCCGCAAGTGGGAGCGTTACCCATTCTTGCATATCTTTTCCGTTTTAATTCTTCCGATTATTTTTATATTCTGTCACTAATATGGAACAGCGGCAGAAAGAATTAAGAGGCCCATGGGCCAAGAGAACAACCCAAATATGGTTCTTTCCTAATTATTCCCCCACCGATGCCGCTATTAGCATTATTTTAGAAAACGTTTTTGATTAGCGTTAGTATTTTAAATAAAATTTTAATGATGCTTATTAAACCTGAAATTGGTAACGCTAAAGTCTATCGTCAGATATCATTTTAAGACGCTAAAGCTAATTACTAATGCTGTTGCCAAACGAGGTCATTGTGTGCCGCCACCGCCCATTATCTCCAAGAATGTCCTTTACCAGATGGACATTATTCACTTAGCCTAAAATATTTCTATCCATGAAAAAACAATAATGTCCATAGTACTTCAACTGCTCTCTATTGTCTATTTTCCTTGGAATCGTAATGTCTTTGGTCTAATGATGTCCTTTGTATAGACATTATTCACTTTGTTGGATTTTCCATAACATTTTAATGTCTTTAGAGTAGAAATGAAAAAAAAGACAATAAAGATGAAAGAGAGAAATTATATTCAATGTCTTTTAATTAATGAAAAAAACGATATGCATAGTGTTTAAAATAACGATAGATTATTATAGAAAAATATGATGTGATAGGTGGGTTAGAAAAAAAGGAGTAAAAGTGGGGTTTTAATAGAAAATACAAGTGTTTTGGTGAAAAAAAATAAATTAAAGAGGAAGTGCTACACTCATAGTGTACCCTCTAAGAGTTGTGCTATCGTAATCCTAATGTCTACATGTTAATTGTTAAATATGAGTCTTCTCATATATTTATTATAGGCTCATAACTAGATCTCTTTCATTTTATAATGTACGGTACATTTAATCATTTCATGTCTCAAGGTCCATAAAATAAGTATAGACCTAAGGTGCCCAAAAGAATTTATCGTCCTATAAACTTCTTCATGTTTTGACTTTTTTAGTCAAGCAGTGACATTTTTTGAACATAGAGCATTCGAAATACACTTGAAGCCCCAAGGATTCAAACTAGAGCTTCAAAATTTCTCTCACTATCACGTCAGCTCTAACTAACCTAACAATTTCATTGGAAATGAGTTTGAAGCTCCATGACTTCAAACTGGGGGCTTCAAACCTTTATTGTATACATTTTTAACCCACATTTTGTAAAACTAAAATAATAAAACTTCATTATTTAATTAAATATAAGCAACCATAAATCATTAAATAAAAAATTACATTAAAAAAGACATTTAATAAAAAATACATTAATAAAAAATTAAGGCAAATTATATTTGGCCTTGATCTCCTTCTGTATTCTCTCGTAAAACATACATTTGAAACCTGTTAACATATCAAGGTTGTTTTTCATTATTTCGACTTTTTCCTTTGCTTGCCTTCATTTCTCTCTCTTCTTCCCTAATAGTATTGAACACCCACGGTTGTTCAATCATTGTCCGACCGATTTTGTCATAGAGTCGGACACTGCAAAACCGAAGAGAGTGGATTTTGCTTTCTTCCTTCCGATCGGTCATGGAACAGAATCATCGTCGTCAGAGTTGTTTATGAGAGTTCATGTCATAGGATGACATGAGAGGTTAATGTCATTGAAACCTTGTCTTTTTTAATTTTTTAACTAAAAAAAAGAGAAAAGTGAAAAGATTTTTGTTTTAGGATGAATTCGTGAGAAAAATGGGATTGTTATAATATAAAAACCATTTCTAAGACTATTCCCACAAACTTTGAATTAATTTTTTAACATGATATTGAAGTCTTGTTGACTAATAAATTAAATCACGAGTTTTAATTGAAAGTCACTCCATTAAAAATAATGATGTTTACGTGCAAGATATAAAAATCATTCTTGTGTCGATAACTACAAATTTGGACTTTTTATTGAATTGGTTCCTTGATAAAAAAAATTGTTGTTATTAAAAAAAATAATAAGGGCTAAAAAAGATGTCTTAGTTATTATTTCGGACGTCAGTTAAATTTTATTTTTGTATATTTTTTACAATTCATTTAAGAAAATGAAATATTATATTGTTTCCACATTTTTTTAGAACTTGTGATTTTAGTTTGAGATTTACGGAGTATAATATTAACTTTTTATATTTCCTTGCGCATTTCAAAATAAATGAATTTAAAAACCTGATAGAAATATAGAATAACAATTTTTTTTGGAGACGTATAGATCATTCCATACTCCGTATAAAAACAAAAAGAATACGTATGTGTATAGGATAATAGCCATAGAGTATATGGAGGACGTATAGTACACGGCGAGGGAGAAGTGATGTCCTGCTACTTGGGGGTGGCGCACGTGGCAGCTACTTAGCTCGATCGCCGTTTGTTCGGCCACCTGATAAGTACAACTTTGCCGACAATCCCATCACATCGCCAATCCCGCCACCGCGAGCGTCTCGTGAGCCGAATCAGTCGGTGAGCGTTGCACAGCCGGCAAAGGAAAGAAGTGTCCAAGAGGTGTAGTTTGATTTCGATTCCTGACAACTACCTTGATGTATCGAAATTTCAAACATATGATCTTTGGAAGTACCTAGTGTGGTGCATTTTCTATTTTTTGCCTTCAATCTACAATTAAAATCTGATTAATTATCTCTCATTGACCGTTCGACTAAGCTGAAGGTGCCATCTAAAAATCAAGATGTGACAAAAAAAAATATTTCATTAAATAATTAGCAAAATTACAGAAACGAAAAAAAATTACCGAGATGTATATCCCAGAAAATTTGTAATCCAATTTTGAACGGAAGGACTCTAAAAGGTGAAATAGTATCCATCAACAAAAGCTTTTGGAGTAATTGTGGATCTTGTAAGTGATCGATTACTTTTATCCAACACTTTGATTTTTATTCTCCGTGTACCAAAATTTTAACCTGACATAAGAGAAGGTTTGGCTTTGAGGCAAATCTTTCTAAGGCTGTGTTTATTTAGGCTCGAATTTCAGAGTTGGATATTGAAAGAAACTGGAAGAAGTTAAAAAAAGCTGAAAGAAGTTGGAAAATGTTGTAAAAATCTAAGTGTTAAAAAATCACACAATTAAATGATTATCCAAATAAATATGTTAAGACTTTTTTGGATTAAAAAGAATCCATCAATGTTTGTATTTTAAGTGATATATTATAGATTTAGATATATAATTTTATTGTACTCCCTCCGTCCCTGAAAACCTTTTTCCTTTCTTTTTTCATCAGTCCCAGAAAGCACTTATTATTTCTATTAAAAAGTCACTTTTACCCTTTACTTTTAGAAAATTCAATACCAAAATACACTCACCTCAAATCTCTTCAAAATCAAAATATCCAATGTTTAAAGGGACGGAGGGAGTATATTTTATCATATATAAATACATTTTTTAAGTCGTTATTAGAAGAAGCTGAAAGGAGTTAAAAAAAATTTAGAAGGAACTAGAAAAGGTTGGAATTGAAGTTAATTTTTTTCAACCAAAAAAATAGAACCTAATTCATATAAAACTCAATTATAATTACATATGCAACCACTTTTCATTTAAGATTCAAAAATTCAAATTTTAGGTTTCTCAAAGAAACCTAAAATCATTCATTTACTTTTTAACCCATCACAAGAATCTTTCACTTTTCTTTATACTATATATCTATTTTTTTTCTTCATGAATTCTAGCCATATTTATTAGAGGAAATTATATAATTGGTTTTTTATAACATGAATTATTTTATATTTAGTCTTTTAGTATCTAATATTTCGCTCGCGGTGCTTCTTTTATAAGCACTTTTTTACAAATAGTCTTTTTTTATCTTCTATCATATTAGTGTCAATTTAAATGCTAAAAGTGTAATTTGACATTAATTTTGTGTTTTTAAATATATTCTGATGTCGATTAGGTGACAACACAACAATAATCGTTATGACTGTCAATCCGATTAAAGATCACATCTTTAGATCATGTTTATAGACTTGTAGTATATTCCCTCCGTCCACAAATAAACTTTACATTGCGCGTTACGATGTTTGACTGAAGTTATTTTCAAATCATTTTATGTGAAAAATGGTGTACAATTGAAAAATAAAAATTACTCCCTCCGTCCCTAAATATTTGCAACGTTTGCTTTTTCAGCGTCGCGGGAACTTTTGTTTATTTCTACATTTTCATTGGTTATTTGATAGAATAAAATATTTTTGACACATCTTATTTCGAAGAACTTTTCATGTAGTTTTTTGATATGTAAATTTTATTTTTTATTTCTATACCAATTTGTAAATAAAATGAATTAAAAAAACTTGATATTTCCCTCGAGAATACAAGTGTGACAAATATTTAGGGACGGAGGGAGTACATATTAAAAAAACTATATCAAAAGATCTACAAAACTAGAGGTGACATGACTATATTATTTTATCAAATGGGTGACGAAAATAGGCCAACAAAATGAATAAAATTTGACCATGTGACTAGTGAACGTAAAGTTTATTTAAGGACGGAGTGAATAGTAGAGATTGAGTGTGATTCACAAATCACAAACAACATATCAAGAATGGACCATGCATGGAATTGTATACGACATTAATACTCAAATTAAGATCCACATGACAAAAAATAAAAATAGATTAATAGTAAACAATTACAAATGTAATATTTGATCATAAAATACTAAACATGGAAATTTCTTTAATGTAAATAATTGATAATAGTATTTATTTTTTAAAAAATTTAAAAACTTATAATTTTTGAACGAAAGAGGATGCAATAAGAGCACTGGAAATACATATATATAATGCGGGGGGGGGGGGGGGGGGGNCTCCCCCGTTATGGCACCGTCATCTCCCCTGCGTCAAAAGTTTGACACGCGTTGGATTCAGAAATGAGGCCGTTGGACCCCCTACAACGGCTATAATGTCGTTGGCATTTAAAAAAATCTCTCATCTATATATTCAATCTATTTTTTTAAAAAAAAAATCAATACACACCACAAACATAAAATCTCTCTATCATCTTTCTTAAAAAAACTATTCAAGTATTTGTTTTTATTTTTAACATGGATCCCTTCGTTCTAACATTTTCTCGTCCAGTCTCGAGCAAAATGAGGAAGCGGTGTGATTTTCCAATAATATGCCGATAAATTCATCGATGTATGAAACGCAACCCTTGGTAAATCTTGAGGACCCGGAGTATGTTCTGGGGACACAACCAGAACCTACTGCACCAAAAAAAGTGCACGCTGGAAGAGTCACAAACCGAATGGGCGACAAGTCTAAGATCGATATATATATGTATATATATGTTATTTTTTATATATTTGTATTAAAATACTTTTCCATTCAATTATTTATTTCTTAAAGGTTTAATAGCAAACAAATTAAAGGATGCGATGTGAGATCATATCGTGGAGAAGTTCTTTGCGTCAATGAACATGGATGTCTCTTACCGAACTCAAGACCAACTCACTTCCAAACGGACCACATCAAGTGTAAAGTCCAAAATTTTAGGACGTTTACGGTCCAAGAAGAACGGGACAAACGATGCCAATGTTCTGCGGTAAACCACCGCCTAGTATCAAGATGACAGACACCAAGGCAAGGTCCCCATCGATCTTTGGAGAATTTTTAAGCCGTTCACCGAAATATCAACAACTCTATAATCCTGAGGCCGGACTGTCAAAGAAAAGATCCTCTGCCGAGGTTGAGACCGATGGCGAATTTGACGACGAGGATCCCATTCCACGGCCGATCGGAGGGAAGAAGACAAAATCAATTATCTCGGGTTCTGCAGGATCTGGCTATGTTTCTTCTCACGATAAAACTGGCCGGGCAATGGTTGAAGAGCTGGGATTGTTCAATATTAGGGAAGAAGAGATGGAGAAATGAAAGTAAGAGAAGGAAGATATCGAAATAATGAAAATCGATCTTGATATGTTAACGGGTTTCAAACATATGTGAGTTAAATTAAAGGAAAATGCTAGAGTGCCACCACATGGGTGCTACCATGAGTGCACCCATAATTCGCACAGACAAACACAGACGATAACTGTCTGTGTCGCACAGACAATTATCGTCTGTATTTGTAATGGGTGCACCCATGGTAGCATTCATGTGGTGACACCCTAACATGGTCCTAAATTAAAACTAACTTGACATAGACAAAATTTGAATTGGAGTGCGGGATTAAAAAGAACTCAAGTATCAGTCTGCATAACGTTACGCCGTTGATTTCTATAAAGCGCACCTCCATATAAATACGACAGCTGGGGTTTGGAGGCATGCCTTTCATGGTGCACGCTTTTTTGATTCTTCTTTTCATTCTTTCCTTTTTCTCTTTCAATTTATCCCCTCTCTCTTTTTTCCTTTTCTTTTCCTTTTTTTTAAACAAATAATTTATTGTTTTAGTAATTTAGGTGCAAGAATTGTTGACTTTCCGACGATGGAAGACGGCGGACGAGAGGCGGATAAGCGGGGGAAGCGCCGCCAGGCCCAACCCGACAAACCCTACAGAGGAATTCGCATGAGGAAGTGGGGGAAGTGGGTCGCCGAGATTCGCGAGCCCAACAAGCGATCCAGGATTTGGCTCGGCTCCTACTCCTCCCCCGTCGCTGCCGCCCGGGCCTACGACACCGCCGTCTTCCATCTCCGCGGCCCCTCCGCCCGCCTCAACTTCCCGGAGCTCCTATCCGACGACGACCGCCTCCCCGACCTCTCCGCGGCTGACATCCGGAAGAAGGCCACCGAGGTCGGATCCAGAGTCGACGCGCTCCAGTCATCCTTGGCTCTCTCTTCTCCGGACCCGATCCGGACCCGTCCCGTCCCGGCGAAGCCCGACTTGAACGAGTACCCCACACCGGAGAATTCCGACGAAGAGGACTCGACGTACGGCGGAGATCAATAGATCATTCAACTTCACGGCCACCGTTCGCCGATTTGTACAACCCAAAGGGGAATTACGTGTGCTCATATTTTTCTTTGTATCATTAAAAAAAAATCAAAAGCAGTGGTTTAATTTATTTAAAACATCAAATTATTGCTTGAATTCAATAATAAAAATACACATATACAATCGTGTTGAACTACTGTTACATTGGAAGGGGTTGAATGCGGTCGGCGGCCGGAAGAAGATAAGGGGGGTGGGCTGTGGTGGCTGGCCTACAGAGAAATCAGTTGCGAAGCCCACAAAAAATGAGCCGCTTAAAAAAAGATAGGGATTAGGATGCAAAATGGTTGGCCCACCTTTAACGAGTCGTACTTCCATTCCCTTTTCATAACTCATAAGAACCTACAAGTGTGTACATTTCTACTCTCGGTCTAAAAATTTCTTTCTAGTTTCTCAGAACAGAAATTAAATACATTTATAATGTGTAAAAGTTTTCATGTCTTGTTCTTGATGCAGTGATATAAAGTAAATAATATAAATAAAAAGTGTCAGTATAATGAGACAATCATTAAAAAAAAATTGCTAAATTAAAAATGAGAAAATTATTCTTGAATGCTCCAAAAAGAAAAGTGAGAAAGAAAAAATAATGAACGGAGATTATAAAGCAAAATGCTAGTGAGTAAGGATACACCAAAAGATATACCTCAAGTATACACTACTACACCGTATATTTCTACCAAATGATCCAAAGTGCGAATAAAACAAATCAAATAATGGGTAAAGATTAAATGGTGATGATTGATGGTGTATAGTGTATACTACTAAATGGTGTGTATCATGGTGCATTTGCGTGAATTTTTCTTGAACTTTAAAAATTGTATAAAGAGCGTCTAAACTTGTATGTTTGATTTAAGAGTGTACTAATCACACATTCGTTAATATACATGTTCAAATTTGATGAAGAGATGGATTTTTACAAAAGTGAAAAGGTTGATTGAATGATGAAGAGTTTGATCGACTGATACCCGGAGTTTGAGTTTGGTTACCGAAAGCTAAAGTGAGAATAATTATCTAAGATTTTGAAATGTTAAAAGTACAAGAAATAATATTTAGACAGACATATTGCAGAACTCACATATAATACATGAGTTTAGATTAATTCATACTTGCATTTGTTGAGCGTATAGTTAATACACTCACAATTGACACAAAAAATCATATCATTGATGTAATACTTTTAAAAATTTAGGGATTATTTGTATAATATTTATAATGTATGAGAAAATTGTTTGAATTTTAAAGAGCCTAAGAATAAATGATGCAAATTTTTTTTTGAATTTAAGAATAATCAGAAGAAAATATATATGATGAACAGAATAGCTATGAGCTCTAACTTCAACAATAACACTGTTTCTCAAACTTATTAGCATCGAGTTGGTATAATTCGAGTCTGATTACATTTGTATCTAAATTCTTCAAGTTGAGTTTACATTTGGATTGAACTATGTTATGTTCAAACAAACTTTGGAGTTATGTACTTAACAAGTTGAGTTTGGTTGAAGTTTGAGTATGTCGTATTTGAGTCGATTTGGGTGCAACTAGGTCAATGATAATTTAAACACATTTTAGTTATGGTTTGTGTTTTGGTTGAAAGTCAAGTCGAGTGGGATCGCGACAGATTTTAATAGAATTTTAGGGTGAATTTTGAATTGAGTTAATATCTCGTCAACAAAAAAATACTTATAAAATAAAACTACTGAAATCATATTTAATAATAAATGGAAAAATAAAAACATTTATTCTATACAAAGTTTTAAACTCACCACTTTGTAACTTAGTACATGAGAACTAGTTTGTCAAACTAACCAACGAATAATCGAGCAACAAATTACTCGGTAACGGCGAAGAGGACCTGGATTAACGTCCCCGTTGCGGACACGGCATCACCGCGAAGCAGTCGATCGCGACCTTCTCGCATCCATCCCGCACCGTCCATCAGGTTACGGTTCGCGAATCCAACGGTGGGGATTTCACCTAGGGTTTCTGAGCAGCGGACACTATATAAACCCCACAGTTTCATCTTCTCCGATTTGCGGTGCAGATTTCCTGCCCTCCCACAAAAGAAAAAAAAAATTCATTCCCTCCCCCCTTTTCATATCTGATCTTATTTTACATGATATATATATAAATTTTTTTTACATATAAGTAGTAATCATACGAGTAGTTTTTGTAGTGGTGGAGAGGGAAGATTCTTCCAGGGCGATCAGGAAGATGGCTCAGATTCAAGTTCAGCACCCGAATCCGGCGGCGGGAGCGAATGGAGTGGCGGCGCAGAGTGCTGGCGGCGTCGCTGCGCCCGTTGGCGGTGTATCCGCCCAGTTCCCGGCCACCTCGCTTTATGTTGGTGACCTGGATTCTAACGTCTCTGACTCTCAGCTCTTCGATCTGTTCAACCAGATTGGACCTGTTGTTTCCGTTAGGGTTTGCAGGGACGTGACTACCCGCCGTTCCCTTGGCTATGGCTATGTTAACTTTTCCAACGCTCAGGATGGTTAGTTTTCTTCTTCTCCGAATTTCTGGAGTTTTTTTTGTTATAATTGATGTCTTTCTATATATGTTGTTTGATTGACATACATTTGTGTTTCACGCTCATTGTTATGTGGCATCTGTAAACTGGCATTCCTATTCCGTGCTTTCACTTGGCAATCTGGCGATGTGAATAAAGAGGCTTTTTATGTTAGAAACTCACTGTTTTATTTTGATGGTCAGCATCTATTTTAAGCTAGCACACTGATTTCATTGTTGCCTTGATAACCAAATATGAGAAGAGTTGGTCAAGAGCAGTAATCCAAGACCCCCGTGAGATTATTTTTTTTATAAAAGATTTAGTTGTGAAGATGTCCCCAAGTACCCGACCGAGGACATTTTGGGGAGGAGAAGCTGAACCTATTTAAAGAATCCGTGCAACATAGCGTGTGAGAGTAACATGTTATCACTGCTTCTTTCTTTGTAAACAGTTTTTAGTGTAATGGAGTATCATTTTCATCCCCGTTCTACTTTAGTTAGCTTTCACGCTACCGTAGATTTTTCTTAAACTAGTGCTTCACTCGTCTACATGTGGATGTTATGAATTTTAAACCCTAACAAATGTGTTTGTGTCATAATATTTTGCCTATAAGTCGTTTTTAGTATTCCATTATCATCCTCTCACCATTTCTCTAGTTTTGTTGTTCTGTGTGCCATTATTTGTGAGCTAAACTATTTGGTTTGTTTTTAGCACAATTGAACTCTCTAGTTTCTAGTCTCGTTGCTTTAAGTGCCAAAGTTTGTGAGCTAATCTATTTTGGCTTGTTCTTAGTAGAATATGAGCTTTCCAGTTTCTAGTTAAATTTAAGCCCAACTCAATGAGAAGTTTGTTGTTAAAATCAAGTTGATTATTTTTTCCCCATTAGTGTCATCAACTCTATCATTAGGTAGCATTGCTTTCATAGTATTCTCTCAAAGTAAACTTTCTTGTCAACTTTGTTGTTTCACATACTGCCAACTTGTGCAATATGATTCTAATTGCATTGATGAAAGGTAGCAAGGCCGCATGCAAATATGTTACTCTTTATTTTCTTGTAATTTCTTTGGCATAGTGAAATTTCTAGAAGACTAAGATTTGCACAAAGGTAACATGAAATCAGTTTATGTGCTTTTTATTTTCATTGTCAAGGAAAACTATTAATATGATTTAAAATTGATGCTTTGTAGACATATTTCCACACGTCCTTTAAAAGGTAGATACTCCTGAAATAGATTTACACTCCATTGCTCAAAGAAACAGGGCCGTCTCGAGCCCATTATTCGAGGACCCAATACACACACACCCACACCCACATAACATTGCCTTTGAGAGAGCTGGGCAGACCTCTGTCTTCTTCGGCAGCCATGGTGCTTGTGTTCCATTGCCGGCAGACATCAAAACTCTTCTTTGGCACCTTTCTTCTAAAAGTTAGAGATTGCATTCCTTCTCTCTCGACACGAAGATAGGTTTTACAGCAAAGTTTTTCTCAAAATCTTTCGCGATTAGAAAATATGGCCGATCCAATGGGCTCTCGCTTGACATTTTGACATCTGCGAAGGCTCAATTTCACCCGGCCAAAATTTACTTCAATTAATTATTTTTGAGGGGGCAATCTTCACTGATGACGTAGTTTATCGTGCTGTGTTTAGTGCAGGGAAACTGCCCTATATATACTTTCTGTTTGAAATATGATCCCAAAGGCGACGCCATTATGGTTGTTTGTTGCCTTTGACAATTTAATTATCAATTCATATCCGCGAAGCTATTCATTCTTTTTTAAGATATGTATGTATGTATGTATGTATGTATGTATGTATGTATGTATGTATGTATGTATGTATGTATGTATGTATGTATGTATGTATGTATGTATGTATGTATGTATGTATGTATGTATGTATGTATGTATGTATGTATGTAGGTATGTATG